TAAGAAAAAGATAAGCTAACATTTGAAATAGAAATCTGAACAAGTCCTGGCTGCTGTTAAATAATTTTGCCAGAGTCCACTAAATCGCTGCAGAGCAACGCAGACTCTGCAGAACATGAGATAGTGACAACATAAGCTCAGTGTTATGAGAGGCGTTTTAGAAGCTTCCATCTGCAGGAGCTCTCTGGCTGCTGGATTATCCGACAAGCAAAGAGCTTACTCTCCTATCGCCGCACTCAGAGCCTACGCTCCCAAAATGAGCAACTGCACACAAGTATGCATGTGTGAAATAGATTTAAAGTTCAAAACCAAATGAAACATTTTTATTTTATTGGTATTTGCTCTACACTTCGGTAGCTCTGCAATGCAGCAAAGGAAGGAAAACATTACTTAGGCTTTAACTGAGGTTAAAAGTATAACAAAAATGCTATTTCATGTTTTTTTAAAGGTTATTTGGAAAAATGCAGAAAAAATAGAAATCTCTTTAGAGGAAAGTAAACAATTTAGCAAACAAACAAAACATTTTTACAAATGCAAATAATTTACAGTTTATATTTGAAACAATCCATAAGCAGGAAGAAAACAAGGTTAATTAATATTATTTGAATAAAATAAATAAAAAGACAAAAGCCCTCAAAAAAAATCCCATACCAGCCAACAGTTGAATTGACCTTAAATGCAACATTTAGCTTCATAATTAAATTTAAAACCCAGAGAAAATTCATAATTACATCAGAAGTTAACAGTAGTGCTTTAGCTGAGCTTGATGATAAGCATCTGTATTGACATGCTAATTAGCCACGTGCTACATGAACGCTGTTCTCTTGGCTGACGTAAAACGACAGATCTCTCATCAATCACAGATACCAGTCCAATCAAAAATCAGACACTGGGAAACAGGTTTATTCTGAAACAGAAGTCGGCAGATACCAGATGATGCATCACCCTAGTGATAAGACTTGATCGAGTAAGATAAACCGTTTAAACTGACCCTAACTAGTTATTTAGAGGCTGTTGAAGGCCTTTTCGGTGGGCCCGGTGGTCCAACATGAACTGGCAGGGCTCAGGCTAAACTCGTGTGTTTACACCCTCATCCGCTCTCAGGCCCAGGCCTGAACAGATGGTTTCTGTTTTTCCTGGCAGATTTGTGACAGAGCCACAAAAGGCCCCTGCTTTGACATGAAGCCAAATGGTTAAGGCCGTTACTGGCAAAAGCAGGGGGAAGGAGGAGAGTACGAGGGAAAGGGGGATGAGGGGACGAGGGGGAGGAGAGCAGAGAGGGAGGAAAGAGCCAGAGGTGGGTAACAATGGACAATCAAGACTGAAACCAACCACAAGCACTACTGAAGAAAATTCAGCAAAAAAAAAAATCTGATGAATATTTCAGGCAGCTGGAGGACAGGAGCCTGGGGTGGGGGCATGTCATTCTACTAGCTGATGGAGCGTTGTGTAAACATCCATTAGAGCAGCATGAACCTGAGCTCCTCCTATTTCCTCCACAGCCTGCAGATGGAGGAGGGCAGACTGTTTCCCTGATTCATTTCGGTGAGGTTAAGGGAGAAGTATTTCCAAACTAAATCAAACCGGGGTTTAATTATATATGCCTTTGACCCCTGCACTCCTAATTCCTCATCGCCTGTGGCCCATGGCAGGTTGCACTGAGGGCTGGCTGACTTTTCCATCCTGCTCGTGCTGACTGTTACTGTAGAGGGTAACCTGCTTAATGCTCCTGAGGTTAAGGAGGCCTGAATCAAACTGAGTGACGTAGACGAGGCCATTTTAGGTATTTTTATTAAAAAAGGTGAAGGCTACTTCAAGGCTTTTTATTCTATTTTGATTAAAGTACATCTTATGTTTAAAGATTTAAAACTGCAATAGAAAATTTAGAAAACAAATTAGATTGAAAAACATTTTTTTTTCATGTTTCTTAGCATTCTAATATTGCATAGCTATAAACATATTGTGGGGATAAAAACCTCTGCCAATAACACCTTTCAGACCGAAAGCAACCATTGGACCATCCGGTTGTCGGTCTTGTAGAACCACCGCACGTCCCTGAGTCCTCCATTCATTATGCACTTGCTTATTTAGCAACAGAACCCCACTGATGTGAGAGGTGCGTGGCTCAATAATATTAGAAAAGGAGAAACAGCCAGATGCCATCACTTCAACTTTAGGGAAACTACGAGACAATAAAAGCAGCAACTGGTGTTTAGCACCATCTCGTTTCCTCCGGCATTGCGGGTTTCCGTTTCCGGCAGAGGGCGTCTCAGGGAAGATACCCAAGGGGGAGGAGTGAGCATTCCGTGACTGTTGGTGATCAACACCTAGCTTGTTTGCAGATTCGCTAGAACAGCTTTAATACTGTTTTAAACATGCAATGCACAGACCCTAAAGGATGAGGTGAGGTGCAAAGGATAAAATTATTAACAACGCATCTTCCTATCCTAAGGTCCACGTGGAAGGGGTGAGGTGGTGCTCACTCCTCACCCCTGCCACATGGACCCAAAGGAATAAACCATCAACCCTGCTCAATGGTCAACTTTCCTCGCGGGGCCACACCCATTAGGACAGTGGGAGGGTTAAATGACTCAAAATTAATTTACTTATGATAAATAACCATTGATTTAACAAAAATATTCTTTCAGTTCAGCTCCTGTAGAAGTGAAGCAGAAACTCACACAAGGTCTCAAATGAGTCTTAATCGCTTGTTTTATGTCATTTACCCCAAACTCCTGATTGAAAGTTAAGCAAATAAATTAGCTTTATAAAATAACTTTCACATTATGTAAATGTTTTTAAACCCATAAAGCTGCTTATTGTTCTGTTTTTATGCAACTAAACCTTTAGTCTAACAGCTGCATGCATAAAATGAAGTAAATTAAAACCCCTGAAATAACGGACTCAGAGGGTGTTAGAAGGTTGAGCAGGTTGTGTGAGAGGCGGTTAAACCGTCGCTCTCTGCTGCGCGGTGCCTTTCTGTCAGAGAACGACTGAATAAGCTTTGCTTTCACAGGTCAGGGATGCACACGCTGAAGAATCAGCACCTGTGGTTTTCCCGCTGTAAGCGTTTTTGCCCATGAAAGCAGATTGGATGGCAACGGTGCCTTTTTGCTGGAGGGTCAATCCGGCGTGTTCTGCTGATAAGCCAGTCCCCAAAAACCACAACACGAAGCCCACCAAAGACTCAATTACGCGGCGAGCTCTGCCTCTCCGGGCTCCGTTTATTAGGTTGTGAAAAGATTTTGCCTACATTCAGCTGCTCTGAATTGCCTGTGGTCTGATTTAAGAACATCAATATGTGCTGGTCGGGTTTCCCTCAGCCGACAGCAATTTCACTGCCTGAAAGCATTTAGATCGTTCACCGAACACGGAAGCTGATCTGTCGCACCGCTGAAGCAACAGTGGAGGCCCCAGAAGTTTGAATCTGGATTAATTAGTGTTTACACCAAAGTATTTATAATCACACTCATCCCCAAGCTTCTGGCTGTCGAGCTCAGGACATGGCAGTGAATTCATTTTGACTGAGTACAGCTTGTACGGGGACAAACATCTGCTGTGAGGTTGTGCTGAGAACACGGCTCCACTGCGGGCCATCCTGGAGATGACAGGAGCCAGAGACCGAGTGCTGCTTCGTCCTCAGGGAGGACAATGTGGTACAAAAAAGCTCAGAACGTCACCTTCATTTTTATCTGGACACCAAACCAACACTTGCGTACCCAATACGCTTAAAACCCTAAAATAAGACTGACATAGGTGCTTATATGCTTCTTTTCTGTCATTTTTAAACTAAGTGAAGCAGATGAAGTCTCGGAGATGCAACAGCAAACTAAATCTAAGTATAGAGAAAAAAGAACATTAAGCTAATAAAAATACAAACTCAAAGCTTTAGTTCTTTGCCTGTAAAAGGTTCTACGCTGCTTCACTGAGTTTATTAGATTAAAGTTGCTCTCTGTTCCTTCTCTCATCGTGTTTATGATCTATAAATACACTTTATAATGCACTTAGGTGAACATCAAGTAAATAAATAACTTGTGCTTTCATCCAATTTAAAATCCGTTTGTCAGAGCACCACAGATAATCGGGAACATATTTTTAGACGTGAAGTGTTTCGATTTTTACTTGGTGATTTCTGCAAAGTCTGATTGAGAAGATGATTATTTTATATTTTTTCAAACCTTGGACACTTTAAGGGTTTTATGCCTGTAAAAAACAGTCCACGTGTGTTCAGCTGCACCACATATAAAACTGTAACTGATACAAATCTGTTTATATCCACTAAAACAACATTTTCCTGAAAACCCCTCCAGTGGAGCTATCAGATGCAGAGTTATCTGTGATCTGCCATTTCAGCATATTTGGCCGCTCAAACGCTGGAAGCAGCGAGCTCATGTTCCATGACGTCCTCTCTGGAGTGAAGGAAATGGTGGCGGCAAGGCCAGTCGGTGGGACGACACACCCACTCCCTCCACTGGGCATCTGTGTGACTGCTGGTGTGTTTACACAGTGCTGGGCGCTTACCCTGGGCACCGGGTGGCTTCAGGGACAGAATCACTACGCTAGACTCACTCTGATCACGATTCAGAGAAACTTGCTGCACTTTTCCTGGCTTAAACTCGGCGAAACAGCACATATTTCAAAATAAAAGTCCTGAAACATCCCAATATTGTTTGGCAATAAATGGGTGAGGAGTTTTCCTCAGGGTATTGACTCCCACTCAGTCAAAACATGAGATGTCTCCCCCCTCTGCTTTTTAGCGTCTAAATTGAGCTTTACCCTTTCTCCACGGTACTAACCCCCCCCCCCCCCCCCCCCTTCTCTTACAGGCATCCTTTTAAGTGTTTAAAGGCCAGTTTATTTTCCATTTGCAAGAGGAAAATTAAGCTCTCTCTGTTTTGTGGCGGTGACATGCCTTGATCCTGGAGGTCTATTACCCTCCCTGTCAAGAAGCAGACTCCCCCCACCGCTCCAGGCAGAAATGCATTAATACCTACTTTACGGCCAATCAACTGGACTAGACAGGCATTTCTCAAAGAAAAGATGTATTCATGCACTTTAATCTCTCATTCCAAAAGGTCTAGCTTTGGGTTTCAGCATTAAAAAGACACCAAGAGAGGGGGTGAGTGTACCGTAACCTCACAGCAGACGAGGAAATGAAGCGGACGAGAAGTATGACAAACAATTTTTGAATTTCCTTTGATGTTCCTGTCAGCGGTGCAGCAGCACTGCTCCAGCAGGAGCAGGCACACAAAAACAAGGTCTGCACACTTTCACAAACCACGCAGATTGTTTATTTGGGAAAATCGTTTTTGAAGGGCATCTAAAGAAGACATGCAGAACATTTAAACGCCAGTAAGGACAAAACTAAAGGAATCATTGCCTTTTATAGACAAGATTATGACCGTTTCTTCTTTAATCAGTTAACAGGGACTACAAACTGTGGTTTCTGTGTTATTGTTTTTCACATTAAGACCTCGTTCCATAAGGCTGTTAATCATTATCAGGCCTGGATCGAAGCCACGTGCCGCAGCACAGTTCAGTGATGATTACCAGAAAAACTCCAACGCAGAAACAATACTGAACACCTCGCTACATAACCAACACAATTACAAACATAACTGTCTAAACAAACCTAAATCTCAGCATCAGAAGGGAGTTTAAATAAACAATAGTGGCATTAAAATGTAAAATCTGAAATGACACGTTTACATCTCAAGCCCACAGTAACATCTAGCTCTTCTGCTACTTATCCTCACTCACATTTTGAAAATATGTCAGATCTGAGAAAACGTTTGAGATACTTTTGTTTGGTTGACACAAATTAAACAGAAGTATTTCTGTATTATGCACAGATAACATTTAAAGACAATAAGTAGATATGCAATATTAGTTTCCTAAAATTATTCAATTTTTTATTGGGGGGACCTCGCATATTTTGGTATCGGAGTTAGACGGTGTTTACGTATCAGGTATTGGTAAAAAAACAGACATAAAACCTCCCAAGCTTCAATCGTGTTTCATTGGTACAAATACTCAGGTTTTTGCATTTTCATGTGATGGTAAAATGTAGTTTGCACCAGTGCAGATGATGTAGCTCATCTAAGATGAAGCAAGCTGTTTTGTGACTTTCAGATAAAATAATTTTTTATTCGACTTGACCTAAAATGAGCTAATTCTGAGATAGCTACCCTAAAATTGCATAATTATAAATAAAAACACCAAACTGCTGTATCATAATAGTACTCTTTAGAGTGGAGCTCTACTACATAAACAAAGGGCCTTAAACAACTTCACAGTATATTTACTACACACAGCCAGACACTACAAACTGATTTTCAGCATGCAACTGATTCATAAAGCAGATTTAGAATAACTTTTCTCCCAAAGTTCCTTTTTTCATTGATACCATGATCATGACAGCAGCGACTTCTTATCAATAAAGCCTCTGGTTTAACAGCAGCTGTGCTCAAAATATCACTCTAAAGATGTTCAGCTGCTCCAGTTTCCAGCGGTTCCAGGAATGAACATCATTTTTGTGTGTGTCTGTTTTTAAGACCCTGAAAAACTTCTGCTATACGGAGGGGAAAAAGACTGAAGAAAAAGCTGATCTTACCGTTTCTTTGTTGGGCAGCAGCTCTTTCCGGATCCTGAAGAAGTTTTTGCCAAACTGCCTAAGTCCTTTAATGAAGCGCTTCTGCAATTTTTCACAGAGGAAGAAAAGGGAAAAAGAAGGAGGGCAAAAAGACAAAGTTAGTGTATGTGAAGTCAGCTAAACTGTGGTTGCAAAAAAAAAAATAGTTACTGCTGATCACCACAACAACAAGAGGAAAGGAAAGTGTTTTCTTTACGCTATAGTTTGTGGTTGGAGAGGTTTGATTTGTGTTTGAGAAACCTCTGTAGTCGTTTAAACTTCGGAGCAAACAGCCATGTCAGGGCAAAACGAAAGAAGAAATGACAAGTACGGCAGGGAGAGACGCTGAGATTAAACTAGCTGTGAAAACACAGTTACGCAAATACGAGTCTGGTATGAAAACAGGCACACTGGCAGAGATATTAAGCGTGTTGTTAACCTCACAAGCAAAAGTTCAACATAGAAATCTAAAATGAAGAGTTAAAAAGCACAAAATTATTGGTGAACACCTCTGTGTGCATAGTGGATAGATCCATTTCCCCTCTTTTTAAGTCAATTTTAAAACCATAACAAACATGCCAAGATGTGAAACACACACACACACACACACACACACACACACACACACACACACACACACACACACACACACACACACACACACACACACACACACACACACACACACACACACACACACACACACACACACACACACACACACACACACACACACACATTCTGACCAGAGTTAAAGAGCTGAACTACATGGTGACAGACACTTCTCTGTGACATCGGCTTTAATCTGACATGAAAAGTGAATATGAACAAGCCACCTCACCTCAGTGCCAGCAAAAACAGCGACTGGACCAAATAAAACCAAAAATCGGAGCCACCCAAACGCATTCCTTCTCCTTTAAGGGCCACAGACTGCGAGCCACAAAAAGCAGCGGCTGAAAACATTCATAACCAGCGAAGCAGACAACCAACAGATTTACTTTCTTGCTCCAGAGGCGAGCCCCGTTCCTCAGTGATCTCAGCCAACCGTTTCCACCAAGTAACTCCAGTCAAAAACAGGGAAAAGTCCACGGGGAGATCAGCGAGAGCGCCTAACAGCCAGCCACAGGTAACGGGGACAAAATAAATCAGGGGACAAATCCACAAGGTCTCCGACAGCACGGCGATTCTTTTTCTTAACAAGAAAGAAATAGCTTGTCACTCTCTGCTCTTCCACTACAAAGGGGAAGGCTTTACATGTGATCTTTCTGCAAGAGAGCCTCTGGTTTGCAGCAGGCTGGAAAACCTGAAGTGGATTTGAGTGCTTCATGTTAGTGCTGGGGACAGGGTTGTTTTCAGCCTGTTCTGGTTTCCTCTAACACTCAGTCAGCTGGATCACCATCCGTGCCTTCATAAAACATTACACACAAGCCGCTGTCACTAAAATAACACACTGATGACACTGGCCTCTTTAAGGGTAGCCCTTTAAATGCATTCAGAGCTTGATCAGAGCGTGTACAGAGGCAAAAGTAGCTGCCAGGATGAGAGGGGAAGCAGTTTGTGCAGGCAGAGGTCCTGGATATGGTGGAAGGAGATGAGCAGGAATTAAAACCTGACATGGAGCTCTAAGAGTTCATTTTCCATGCCATGAACTGAGAGTTATGCAACCACAGATTGTTTACATATCAGGCTTTGGTGAGGAACAAAGGACAAATTTACTAAAGCAACACAACCAGCTGCAAAGCTCAACCCAGAGGGTAAAATTACAAAAAAACTAAAGACAGAGAGGGGGAGTTAACCCTTAACTCACTATACTTAAAGTATCATCTTTGTACAAACAGACTTCACAGTCTCAGGTTTTCCAGATTTAGGGTGTAAATATAAAATGGGTCTAAATGAAGCCGACGTAAACAATCAGACTTCAAAAACCACATGTGCTGGACTGACAGCTGAGTAATACGAGCGGTCCTGTCGGCGTGGTGGGACAGCCGCTCATTTGCATCCATCACACCGACAGCGGAGAGGTTGATTAGCCGGTAGATGGAGCAGTCTCTAACACCAGCTCTCCCTCACATGTGGAACACATCTCTTACCACTTGAGGGGTTTGGGGAGATTACTGTCTGGACTGTCACTCAAACTTCACCCAGGCACAGAAGCGGTTATACCAGAGGATTGAGACGATGTCACAACATCTATCTGCATTTCTAGTAATGTTTTTGGGAGAAAATCTGCAGGAGATTTTTTCCCCCAACAAATATTTGCGGAGGTTTTCAGGGAAAAAAAGGGAAGAGGATAAATGTTGATGTCTATTGAGCTGCCGCGTCAAAAATCAATTAGCCTTCCTGTCCCAGTTTGATCCCCTTATTTGTGTTCACTAACTGTGTATTTACTCAGCCGGAGCGTTCCTGTTCACAGAGGACCTGCTTGCACACTCACCCTCCCCTCCCACCAGTTTTCTTTCTCTCACTGGCTCCCTCCTCCCTCTCTACATGTCCGCTCCAGTTTAAGGCTCCATTTCAGCTGCCTGGGCTCACTGCTCTCCAGCCCAGCTAATAAATCATCCACCAATCTGCTCCCTGAATCGCTCTGCCCCTGCTCCTACTGCTCCAGCCCTCGGTTGCTAGGCAACAGAGGCAGAGGAGGGGCCAAGAGAGAAGCGGGGAGGGGGCAGCTGGGTGGAAGTGCTACCAAATGGCCATCCGCTGTGTAGAAACAACAGGCTTCTCTTTCTGAGTGTGTTCCAGAGAGCTGGCGCTTTCTTTTTTTTACCCTTCCCTGAGTTTTCCCTCACAGCAAACAGTGCACCATTGTGAGGCTGGAGAGAAGATGTATAAAAGGAGGAGGAGATGCAGAAAAAAAATAATTCAATGGGCTATTGTTGTGTGTGCGCACATCCTGCCCGAAAGCTGATTGTTTGGAGTTGTTAAACTGGTTAAGATAATGTGGACACAGGCACACAGATGGTATCGCGACGACAAACATAGGGCAGGCTCACACATGGAACATAATTCCCACTAAATGTCACTCCCTGAAAAACACTGGTGCAAGGCCGTCCAACAGAAAACAAAGCCACTTTCACTCAATATGGAGTCATTATACTTGACTTGCTGTTAAAAGCTGACCTTTCCGAGTCTGCTGCATACAAACCCGGAGGGCAGAGAAAAATTGGTGAGCTAGCCATAACCAAAGAGTGAAAAAAAATCCTCACCGTCTTTCATTAAATATCCGATTAGCCACGCTGTACAGAGAGGAAATCACTACACGGTTGAATAAAGAGAACCGCACTGACATAAACACTTTACCACCCACATCCTCTTTCACAGACATGATACAGACAGGTCTATGTTTAGATACGTCTAAATATTTAGGTTATTGTAAAATAATCTATCACACAAACAACAATTTTCAGCGCACCTCGTCTTCCTCTCAACTGAGCAAAAGTAAACTTTTTCTATTTACCCATAAATAAATGTGATGGCTCATAAAACATGACCTTTGAAAGGCTAAGTAAAAACCACAGTTTTCTCTTTAGCTTGTACCGACACAAAAGGTGACAGGAAATTCCAGTACACACCCATCCTGCCCGCCATTTAGTTACAAAACACCAGAGAGAGAGAGAGAGAGAAACACACTTTGTTGGCACTGTAACATAAATTTGATCACATATACTGATGACATTACAGCCTGCAGCCACAAACGCAGGGTGGTAATATCTCCTTTAAGCATGTTTTTGTTTTAGTGGTGTGTTTCTGGTCTGAATGCTTGTATAATACCACTGGGGGTCTGCTACTCCTGTCCTCTCCCAACTCCTCTCAGTCCAGTGCAGTCATCCATCAGCTAAAGCCACAGCCGGAGATAAGCCGCGGCACAGTGCAGCTGGTTGAGAAATAGACCTCCCGCCCTGCAGCAGTCATAGATCAGCCCCCGTCTCCAACGTGGTGTCACGCAGCAAGACTGCGGCTGCTGCTGCTACTGATCGTTTATTTGGCACCTCCTGTTGGCCGACGCCATATTAGCACCACTTATTTACAATCTAGTACAGCGTCAGCCACAGGTTAGGAGAATTTTTAGTAGTTTGTGCAAAATATTTTATAAGAGCCTCCTCGTGCAAACAAATCCGATTACTAATTTTCCTTTTAGATCTTTTTGTTGTGACTTTATAGTACAAAAACTGTTTTATTTGTAAATATTTTCATGAATGAAAAAAATGTGTGTTTTGCTGAACCTAAAAGAAAAAAATGTATTTTAAAAGCAGTTCTTGCTTAGCTTCTAGGTATTAGTGCATAAAAAGAGCACCAAACTGAGTTCACCACTTCATTTCATAACTCGGAACACATGTGAGCAGTAACCAGCAGCAGACTGACACTAAAACACATCTCATTGCAACCATTTTTACAGCCTACAGAGCAGAAGTTGCTCCGTTGTTTGTAATAATTCTCCATAATCCAGCTGTGATTTTATGCATATTTAGAACAAACGAGCACTTGCACACACAAATGCGCCGTTTGATGCCGCAACATTATTTTCACTTTGCAACAGGACATCTGAGGAGTAACGTAACGGCAACACAACGAAAAAAGAAAATCTCTCTGTTCCTGATATCAAACAGCTGATTTCTGAAATGACCCCACAATCAAAAAGAAAAGAGGTGGGAGCTTTGTTGTTGCTTTGGCACCTGATGAAGCGCAGAAAGAGTTGGTGTAGACGGGACGCCATTCTCAGTTAGTAAAAGCAGAGATCTGCTTCAGTCCTGCTCGACTGAGACGACTTTCACCCACCTGCAGGAACAGATTACATTTTTCTTTTGGTGGTTAAATAAACCACCGCTCTTCCCTCAACAGACCCGCTGCATAAAGGCTACAAGCAGGTTAGGGTGCACATTAGATGTTTCCACTAAATTATTCATGGTTTTATATTTTATCCATTTTATAATGCATGAGACTTTTCTTTGGTGTAATTTAGAGTCATTGCTGTAGTTGTGAATGAAGGGGCCTGAGAGGCGCTTGCTTCAAGCCGATGGATTTTCTGCGTGTTTGGTGTTCTAATAATGTCAGGGTAAAAGATTGTTCAAGGCTGATCATCGTAAATCCTTTTTCTTTTTGGCAACAATAAAAACAGAAATGTTGCAACCTCTAGCAGATCTGCACTAAAATGATATATATATGAGCCTATGTGTGCAGAGAAAAATTAAAAATATTATAGAGTTGAGGCAGTGTTGATGGTTTCACGATTTGTAAGCTACGCGGTAGCAGCCGCAGGGGAGAGAGGACCGTCAGAGTGCAGAGGGGGGGCATAAGACATCAAAGGGGAAGGGGGAGGTGACAAGTGACCCTGCAGACAAGCTTATTCTGTCATTTCAGCGGTCCTGCTGTCACTTTTATTCACATCTAAAACAACGGCTGGGGTGAAAAAGAGCAGGCAGGAATAATGATGGCAGTCCTAGAAGGAAGAGATGAGAGGACGAGAGGCTGATAAATAAATGAAGAGCAGCAGGGCTGGCGTCTCTGACTGAGTCAAGGTCGGAGCTGCATTTACACCTGCCCTTCAAGGCCGCAGCGCTGAGAAGGCACAAGTGGGTGATGTGATCTGTGTGAGCAGTGTCCCAAACCGATTGGTGATTAGATGCTGCTTCCCCAGGCAGGTGGGGCACAGACGGCCTTCTGACTGCCCCATCACACACACACACACACACACACACACACACACACACACACACACACACACACACACACACACACACACACACACAAAAGCGCGCGCGCGCACGCACACGCACGCACACACACACACACACACACACACACACACACACACACACACACACACACACACACACACACACACACACACACACACACACACACACACACACACACACACACACACACACACACACACACACACACACACACACACACACACACACACACACACACACACACACACGGCTTTGAATGTGGACTAAAGTGAGCTGGAGTCCCTGACAGATCCACAACTCAGCTTACATAACACTGTGAAAACATAACTACACATAGGAACACAATTATAATATTTGTCTGAGAAATAAGTTAACTGATCAGTAGAACAGATTTGGACAGAAACCCAACTATTTTCTAGATCTTAGCTGGGATGCATCACAACAGAGTTACGTTCAGGTCTCCCCAGAGATCCTTTTCTGATTTCTGCTGCAGGTTATGGATACACTGATGGATTCATCCATCCCAACAAGTTTCCTTTTCCCTGCTACAGTCAAACATCCCTTCAGTATGATCACTGTCACATTCTGTGTCTACTTTCCAAAAAGGAAAACTCAAATGTTTCCAACTGACCAGAGGATTTCGCTGGGCTCCAGTGGAGAACCCTTGTGAATACACAGAAAAATAAACGAGATAGTTGATGGGATGTTTGTGTTTCCGTGTTTTGCCCACATTTGCTGAGAAGAGTTAGACTGAACAGGAAGTAGAGCATTTATTAGCAGTATAATTCTTTTTATTGTGAAATATTCAGTTAAACGGTTTTCTCTGAATTGTTTAAGTTTTTCTTGCATTTTATTTAATAAGCTAGTGCTAGAGCTAACTATATTTCAAAGTTAAAGAGTCATAGGCTTTCTATCGCTGCATGTAGGGATGATGCATTATAAATGCATTAAATTTATCCTGTAAAAACATGATAGTGTTTCTTTTTCCTTGTCATCATTTTATTGGGTAATAGTAACTTTCTGCAGAAGAAGCATCAAATGACAATTAAAATTCTCCACAGAATCGGAAGAGAATAACCTGAGCTAAAGGCCCAATCTCACTGAGGTGCTACTGTTGGTGGATGGCATTTGTGTTTGAAAATGTTTATTAGGGTTCTTAATTTCCCTGCAGGTAAAATATGGGTTCTCAGTGTTCCACACCTTTAAAAAGAAATAAGATTATTTTTTGCCTAAGTAAACAACTAAATGAGCCTTCAATGCTTTCTGAATTACAATTTATTTTATTATTCGGTCTTCCAAACATGATAGTTCCCATGATTATCCACATAGGATCCACATGTCAGTCAGTCTGGCAACAGGAGAGAAAAACTAACTAGTTCACAACAGAATGGTTGACCTGCTGTGATCAATTTTAGTCAACCCATTGGGTTCAGGTCTCACTTAAAACTTGCCTTCTCAGTGGTCTAATGGTAGAGTGTCCGTTCTGGGACTGGGAGATCGGGGTTCAAATCCCGGTTGGGTCACACCAAAGGGACCCAACGCCTCCCTGCTTGACACCCAGCTTTAAAGGGGTTGGGGGGTTAAACCACCAAATAGTTCCCGAGCGCGGCCACTCTTGCAGCTCACCGCTCCTCACGGGGATGGGTCAAATGCCCTGTGTGATGACTAGTGGGACTTTACCTTTAAATGTGAATCCCTTTGCTGATTTTCATTAGAAGTAATCAACCAAGAGAAAAGCTCCACAGAGAAACTGCAGCTTCAGGAGTAAAATTAAGATGATTTATCTGGTTTTATGGAAGACAAACTAGCAGATGGAATCGATAGGTGTGTAGGTGTCTAAGATGTGCAGTAGTGTCAGCGCTAAAAGGAAGTAGGTACACAAACACAAAGCCCAGTGTGTCAAAATGCATGAAAGCCAAAGCTGCAGTGCTCAGCCATTTTGACATGGTAATTCAAGGCTTTCATTCCCCCCTTCCCACTCATGATGTGGTGTTTGATCAGCCATTTTCTGATTCCAGCCCTCCAGCAGCTGTGGTAAAACTCACATCTAAACACAAATAGAGGCTAGCATTAGCAACCCCCAGCCCTTTCACTTCTCCAGACTTTCAGGCTAACGATTTGTTTTGTGGGTGATAAACAGGACGCAGCTGCTCTCGAGTCTGGGAGGAGCTGGAAACTGACAAGTCTGGGTTTCTTCCCCTCCCGACGCTGGCCAAGAGCCTTGTGCTCTCTCTCAACAGCTCCCTCTAAAGACACCAGCTCAGCTCTGACACCAAAACAAACACGTTTAACAAAACAAAGTACATAAATAAGAACGTACACCTTATAAAGCATTAAACACACTTCTACCTAAAAAGAAAGCTTCTCTTACCACTTCATCTTCAGACCAGCACTTCTCTATCAGTTTAGGTACCGGTTTCTTCACCAGGCGCTGCAGAGCCTTGCCTGCATCGTAGCTGCTCTCGTGAAGCTGAGAACAATCATACAAATGCATGTTTTCAAAACCAAAATAAGGAGAGTAAAAATGTTTAAATGGACATTTGAGGTGCAGCCGAACCTTTTGTGGAGTCAATAGGGAAAACAAATAGGCTCTACATGCAGGTGTGACTGAACTTATTAGTGAAAATCTTGGGAGTCAAAAGAAAAAGCCTGCTGGGACCTGAGAGAACAGGTCTAGAGATGAACAACACAGCGGTGCAGCCAATTGCTGCAGCCCTTTAAGCACCGTATCACATCAAATTGGGTGAAACAGGCAGTGCTGGAGCTCTTCCTCGGAGAATAAACAAGGATTACTCATTGGAATTGCAAATAGCGAGGAAGGTCAAGAGACAATGACCTGCTCGCTATGTTAATTTTCCAGTTTATAGAGTCAGAATATAAATGTCCTGTTTATGATGATTCTAATCTATTTCTCCTTCCTGATTCCTCTGCATTCATTGTCAACGTGACGGACAAATCTCTCATTATGCATATTGTATTGTTAACTTGTGAGGCTGGGTTTACTGTCCACTGCCCATCCCCTCTTAGCTCCAATTACAGCTAAAAAACTCACAGGTTTTATTTAATAACTATATTCTGCTACTTGTGCCCATGCTGTTGCACAAATACTTACAGTGTTAAGTGCATTTAATGTAGTGTCGTCTCGCGAGGCGGCAAGACAACCGTCTTCTGTCGAGCCTCCATCACACATCCCTGCAAAGGCAGCCATGCTCCTGAGGATACAAAACATGGCTTAGATTAGCATAGAAAATACCAATAAACTGGTTACACGCTGTTACTATATCTCTAAGGTCTTGAATTTACTGACGTATAGTAAGATGTTAGATGTAGGAATCACCTGAGTCATAAGTGTCCTCTTATGCTACGTCCTAAAGCACTCATTAGCTCCAGAGTTCAAACTGACGAAGCTTTCACAAAAACTAATCTGATTTTTGGACAGTTGATTTCTTTTGTTTACCAGATGTAACAGATCGTGTTTCCCTGGGCTCACCTTGCAGCTCTGAGGTACATGAGAAGGTCACAGTCGTTGACCCCTGGCATCCAGACCAGCTCCTCATTCTCGGTCACTGCCTGGCCACCAGGGGAGGGAAAAGGCTGCAGCTCTGGGAGCTTGGCCTAATTGGGTCCACAGAGAAGGAGGGAGACAGATGGTATCACACTACAAATAGCATGCACGTTCAAAAACTAACAGCTTTCAATTCCTTGTCATCAGGCTTTAGCCGCGTGGCAAAATGGTGTCACAGCAGGGACAACTTACAGTCACAGTGACTCAACACTAACACACAAAAGTTCCACTGTCTGTATGACGTTCTGTTGTTGTGCTGAATAAACCAGCAGATCTTTGGGGGAGAGGTCCTACCTCAAGTGGAGGAGTTTAAGTATCGCGGGGTCTTGTTCACGAGTGAGGGTAGGAGGGATTGGGAGATCGACAGGCGGATTGGTTCAGCGTCTGCAGTGATGCGGACGCTGAGCCGATCTGTTGTGGTGAAGAGGGAGCTGAGCCAGAAAGCCAGGCTCTCGATTTACCGGTCTACCGATCTACGTCCCAATCCTCACCTATGGTCATGAGCTTTGAGTAATGACCGAAAGAATGAGATCGCGGATACAAGCGGCCGAAATGAGTTTCCTCCGTAGGGTGGCCGGGCTTAGCCTTAGAGATAAGGTGAGGAGCTCGGGCATTCGGGAGGGACTCGGAGTAGAACCGCTGCTCCTCCGGATCGAAAGGAGTCAGTTGAGGTGGTTTGGGAATCTGGTCAGGATGCCTCCTGGACACCTCCCCGGGGAGGTGTTTCGGGCATGTCCTGCCGGCAGGAGGCCCCCGGGTCTACCCAGGACACGTTGGAGAGGTTACATCTCCAATCCGGTCCGGGAACGCCTTGGGGTCCTGCCGGAGGAGCTGGTGGAGGTGGCCGGGGAGAGGACGGTCTGGAGCTCCCTAGTTGGGATGCTGCCCCCGTGACCCGGACCCGGATAAGCGGAGGAAGACGAGATCTTTGACAACAGTGTGACACTTAACTTAGATTTAAGTCTAATTTATGCTTCTGCATCAGCTCCATGAGGAAGAGACGCACACGAATGACAGAGACGTTTTGCTTTCTGACTTCTCCGTCTCCTGGGGAGTGTTGCAAAGCAATTCCCTGCCAAGAGAACAGAGGGCGAAGAGCTGTTCTGTGGTATCCTGTCATGTATCTGATCCAAGATAGTGCATTTACTATTGTATTTATGTTGTTTTTTTGTACTTCAGAGACTTTTTAACAGGGACAAATTTGTCCCTTATTCTCCTTCACCTCTTCATGCACTCGCCACATCCAAAACCCACGTTTCCCATCATTTCCGTCCACGAAATAAAACACTTGCTGCACATCTTTATACTCCGTAAAACATTCATATTTTTAGTTTTTCTACGGGGTATTCTTCAAGCTGCTCCGTGTCTGCCGCTAGATATCTTTGGCTTTTTTTTTTAAATGTTTTTGAGAGCGCAATGGCGGTGCGGTTGATGAAAGCAGTGCCCTGACCAATCACAAGCTTGCGTTCTGTCTCGTTTGATGGATGTTTAGAAAAGTGGGCTTGACTCCGTTCATCCTAGCGAGTCTTCTGGAGAGCCCTTACGAAGACGAATAATGGCAGTGCATGTCTCCTCACCGACACAGAAGTATAAACTAATCTCACGGCCGCCGTATTAAGAACCACAATAAAGGCATTTAATAAAAGGTTTGTAATAGACAAAAACATGTTTATGTATTTGTGTGCTACAACTTCTGCAGAAACTCGTAAGACATACAGATGACTGATGATATTCTGATTATTTTTGCAAAAATCTGTAAATACCAGTTTTTGTAGGTTATGTTTAAAAATTCCTAATAAAATGAGCCATGATACCACGGCTGTATGCACTGTTCTTAAGATTTTTGTATATTTTTATTAATACAAATATTTTTTACATTCTTTAGTTGTGAGGAATTATTTCCTAAAGTAGACAAAAATAATTGCCCTTGAAGCAGCTGTTTGGATTTGAATATTAAATTTGAGTTATGGAGGCAGTTTCCTCGTCTCAGCTGACTGTGTGATAATGGCGTACACATGTAAACAATACTTCTGACATGAAAGGCGGCGTCTTCTTTCCACCTTGACGTGTGCTGCACAATGGCTTACCTGGTGACTCGGCCCCACTCGGATTTCCCCTTGTGTGCTGTTTAGTCGCCTGGAAGGAAACAAAGAGAGCTGATTGAAACTCAATATTTACTCATTAAAATTTCACGGATGGCAAAAGGTTGGTCTGCAAAGTTAGTCCCCAATTTTTCTTATTAATGTTGATCTCATAACAATATGTAAAGCCCTGGCAAAAAGATTAGAGAAGGTAACCCCCTTTATAATACACCCTGACCAAACTGGTTTCGTTAAGGGTAGACAGTCATCCACAAACTCACGTAGATTACTTAATTTAATAGACTTCTCTTACAGTAGAAACATAAAAACTAGTATATTATCTCTAGATGCAGAAAAGGCCTTTGGTAGAGTTCACTGGAAGTTCTTATTCGCAACTTTACATGAATTTGGTTTGGGAAACTTCTTCATAAAATGGCTACAAACATTATACAATTCACCAACAGCACGTGTCAGGACAAACGACCAAATATCAGCTAGCTTCTGTCTTCAGAGGGGGACCAGGCAGGGATACCCACTCTCCCCCTCACTGTTTGCCATCTTTATCGAACCACTAGCGGCAGCAATTAGGCAAACAACAGGTATTAAAGGCATAAAGTGTAAGAAAATAGAACATAAGATCAGTCTTTATGCAGATGATGGTTTACTCTTCTGGATGTCATTTTTTCTTATATATTCTGGAAGCTGTGCAAATGCAGGAATGGGAGTAGATATTCTGCTGGGGTGAGGCTGTGTTGGTTCCCTCGGACTCCGTGGAGCTCTGCAATGCTGCTGCTTTGGGCCCTGGCAAGATGGGCTGGGGTCTCCATGCCCTGGGTGGCATTTTGGCAACGGAGGTGCCTATTGGAGCAAGTGGGGGAGCTGGCTCCCTGGAGGGCTTAGGCCAACCAGCCATTCCTCCCCATCCCCACACATTTTTCTCCTCCTGCTCTCTCACATCACACAAACATGCACATAGGACTTTGGGGGTGGACAAGTCAGGAGGTGCGGGTATGGACCCCATTTCTGCATTCCTGTGGCAGCCTGCCCCCCAATTTTATTTGCACATTAAACACTTCCACCAATGACATTCCACGCAAACACACACTTAGGGCCTTGGGAGTAAGCACATACAACGGCATTTGGCAAGGGGATCTCTCAGCCTCATCCCAGGTGCCGGTGCCCACTTCCAATTTTAATCTGCACTTAGACACAGAGGGCTGTGGGGGAAGAGGGTTGGTGTGGTGGCATCAGCTGGCATAGGCCAGAGGATGTCTGCACTGCCCACTCATCACAGCCACAAATACAAATCATCAACACGCACTAACACTGTACTGGAGCAGGCGGAGGGTGACTAGGGGTCTTAGCACACCTCTGTTCAATTCAATTCAAAAATACTTTTTTAATGCCAGAGGGAAACTGATTGCTGTAGTAGCTCAGAAGAATAATAATCAAGTCATCAAGTTGTCGCTTGGCTTCCCAGGGCTGGAGGCTAGGAGGGGGATCTGGCCGTCTGGCTAGGGTCTGGGGTGGTGGGTTGCTTTGCTCGGCGTGGGGCGGGGGAGCCTGCTCATCAGCACCCCAGCAGAAAGGGTCGAACTCTGGGAACCGGTGATGGTTGTACCCTTTGTGCAGCAGTACCGGGACCAGAGTGAATAGGGTGTGTATGGGGAGTATGAGTGGGTGTTTGGCGTGCATTTTTGTGAGTCTAAGGTTGTATGTGTATAGCCCTTTTCAGATAGACATTCTGGAACATTTGCGGACAATTCAATCCGGTTTTTAACCGGAACTGTGTTTTCAGACACACCACATTTGTACCAGAACTTGTCCTTTCGGCTGCGTTCACACAGCAGGGAAAAGTTCCAGATGTCTGACGGCGGCGGGGGGTGGTGGGGGGAGAGAGAATCGGACTCATGTTAAGAAGAAGAAGAAGAAGAAAATATCATTTCTATAGCGCCTCTCAAGATAAAAATCACGAGGCGCTTAAGCATAATTCTGCGCACACGAAGATGCATAAGAGACCTGGATGATGAAGCTCAATGGTTAAAGGAATCACTGAAGCGGTGTGAAGCGCTCCGTCGCGCGTCTAGGCGGTACCGTAGGAGGTGAGCTGCCGTGGTTCGCCGCATGCTACAGCAGCGGGCTATCTGGGTGCGCACGGCGTCCCCCGGTCCCCTCCTCCTCCCCCTCCCCCTCGTCCGGAACTTTACCTCACCAGTCTGAATCAGCCACCCTGTCCGTAACAAGTCCGGACCTGTTACTAGGGGCTTCGTCCGGTGAAATTCCGGAAAACGTTATCCGGATGTTTGTATTCAGACAGAAAGGTCTTACGGACAGATTCCGGAACATTTCCGTTTTTCATGGCCTGTCTGAAGAGGGCTTATGTGTGAGCATGAGGGAGGGAGTGTGTGACTGTGTTTGTGTATGACTGCATGTCTGGTGGAGCTTTTGACTCCTCCCCTCTCCTGGGACTTCTTTTGCTGCTATACATCTTCGCCTCCCCTCCCCCTGTCACACTTGGTGTGGAGTGTGGTGCCTTGGTCTGACTGAATGTTCGTGGCTCCTGGGTCAGGGGGTTTAAGATTTTTAGCATCTGCCTGATTAATCCCGGTGGCTGCCTGGTGGGATCTGGGTCCCTGGGATCTGTTGGGTCCCCGGCGGGGCTGGTTGCCCCTGGGTCCCGGGTCGCTGGGTTCCGGGCTCGGCCGGCTAGGGGGTGGGAGGTTGCGGGTGGGCCTGTGGGCTTGCCGCTGATATCCCCCGGGACTCTGCCGGCTGCTGGTTGTGCCCCCCCGGGACAATCCTCTGCGCCTCTCGAGGGGGGCGGGGGCTTTTTTGGTCGCAGTCACCCTGGGGTCCCTGCGCTCTGGGGCAGCACCTGGATCTCTGAGACTTGGAGCTCCTTCCATCTCCTACGAATCTTTGGGGGGGGGCAGATCTGTGGCCCCTCACACTCTCTATTGGATGCTCCTATAGAGAAACCTTACATATACAAGCGCGTGTACACACACAGGTGCTCACATGGTGCTCTCATAAGTATGGACTTGGGCACGTTCAACACATCTCTTAAGGCTGTGGTTGGCACTTAATGCCCTGTGATTTATTATCGTGATTGTTCAGTAAAACAATGTTTTTATATTTCCTCATCAGGTTGATGCAGTGATAGCTTGCTCCTGTTGTATTGCTGTGTGTCCCTTTTCTTTTTTTTTCTCTCTCCTTCTGCAGGTCTAGAAGCAGACTCTTGTTCATCATTGATTGTTTTTGTGGAACCCCCCCTTCCTTTTGTCTCTTCCCTTCTCTTTCACCTCTGTCTCCGTGTCTGGTCGGAATTACAAGCATTAAACAAAACAATAACAATAAAGGTTTAAGTATCAGGTGTGACATTAAAAGCAGAAGCTTTGATGCTCCACCTGAGAGTAAATCTGTAAGGCTTGTCACCAGCAATCAGACATTAATTCTGTTTGCTTCACAGCCAGACAGGACAGGGGGGGGGGGGGGGGGGGGTTAGTTCTGTTGAAACAGCTGAAAAAATATGTTGAATGCTTAAAAAAGAAAGTTAAATAATGAGGAATTAGGATTTCACATAAAAATGTGATTTAAAAACAAATATTTTTGTGGAACTCTTTATGGATAAATATTTAAAAATGTGCAACAAGTACGTCGACTTTTATTCTAAGAGGCAAATAAAAATTTCAGAGGGATATTACTGGCTGGGTGCTCCTGCACCAAGCTGCTCACAGCACATTTGCAGGCCTGACATTATGGATGCAGCAATAAAACAGCAACCCCTAAAAGGAGGAGGAGGGTGGAGGTTGGGTTGCTGGCTCTGGATGTGCAGGGTGAGAGCCTCTGGAAACGGCTGCTGGTACAAACACTGGTAACCATAGCAACTGCTATTTAATAATAGTGTTCCGATTCTCCAGCTGCAGTGGATTAAAGAAAATGACAAGATGTTCCTTTTGAAAAGCCTTTCCCCTCTGTTGCCTAGGCAACAACACTGATTTTCATACAGGCGAGTGTGAGGCAGCCCAGAATCTGTCAGCGTGATTTGCACCCAGAGAAGCTCGCACTCCATCACGCAGACCTGGAGGAAACTTGATCTCCTGGTTTCTTTACAACCTTCAAACCCACAGAAACCCTGTGATGGGTGCATACGTGACCCGACTCCCTTTTCCTCCTCCTAACGCACCTCCTCCTTCACAGTTTCCCTGATAGGATCCAGTTATTAGAATCTATACTGTCTCGAACTACAGCTGACAGGCGCTGGCGGAGATTCAGATATCAACATGACCCAAAAGCTGCACTTCATCTGCAACAAATGATCCTCACCATATCAGTCTGCTGCTTCGGAGCGTGTTGCAAAACTCTACTGTTCCATTTTTATAACCAACAATCTCAGAGGATAAAATAAAATTATAAAAAATAACACTAAAATATTGCAGGACTATAAAACTGAATGTGCTGATAAAAATGAAATACGATGCCTTCCTGCGCCATCAGCGGTGCACATAACTACTAAACATTTTTCATAAGCCTTAAATCCAACATTAAACTGGGGTTCCTCACTGAAACTCCTTAAATCATTATTTATATGATCCCCTGATACTTGATGCAATAACTTTTTATTTGTAAGATAGGAACAACTACATCATCCACAACTATTATTAAAAATTAATGTCTGCTTGAGGCCTGAGCAAAAAAATAAAATTAAAAATATAACAATTAAATAAAGTTTAATATATTGAATGTGTAACATTCTGGATCGAGAAAGTTCCAAGAACGCGTTCCTGCTGATAATCAGCCGGTCAGATCCACAGTGTGGGTAGCAGGCGGTTGTAACGATGACAAACGAGGACCTGTGCTCCAGAATAAAAGCAGCATGTCTGAAGAACTGCTGGGCTTTAATGCTGCAAAGGTCCTCAGAGACAAAGCAGAATACAGATTGCAGCAGGAGGATCTGAGGAGTTTCCATGAAGGCTGCAGGCATAACTTTAACAAAAACAGCAAACTGCATAAGGAAAACAAGTACCTGTAACAGAATTAATGTATTATTCTACT